TCATACGTCTGCAATTAATAATTATTAGCATATTGTATTCCTAAAATACAGTGTCCTAACTTTAGATATTATCAGTACCGTGCACTGACACTGGTGAGTGATACTGATCTGCTTCATTTAATGAACGCAGATAATGCAAAGATCAATGAAGATCCCCTTGAATAACCCAGGCATGAAAGAGGCCGGTCTGAGCTTCGTCTGAAGATAAAAGTCAGTTTTGAAAAAAGGTCAAAATCCTGAGAAATGTCAGATTTTTTTAAAAAAATGACAAGATTCTGAATCCTGACAAAAAGATAGTATTCTGAAAAAAGGTCAGAATAAAAAAATGTTCCCGGTAAAATCGATCAAAATTCTGAAAAAAAAGTCTGTATACTGAGAAAGTCCGAATTCTGAGAAAAGTCACATACATCAAGAAGCTCTGAAAACTGAAGTGAAGACTTAAAGGAGAGGTGTCATGGCCATTTCCACTGATCATAATTCCATTGTTGAGGTCTACTAGAATAGATTTATACTGTGCATTTCTCCAAACTCACATTGGTTTCTCAAACAGCATCTCTCCAAACTCACATTGGTTTCTCATACAGCATCTCTCCAAACTCACATTGGTTTCTCAAACAGCATCTCTGTAAACTACGTGTATTCACTGAATTTCACTCTCTGCCTTTAACGGCTCGTTGTAGCTCCAATAGCTCCAGCCCCCACCCTCCCTGTGAGCACAGTGTGCTCTGATTGGTCGGGACGTTGTGAATCGCGCTGAGCTCCGTGGAGGTGTTGTTTCCTTGTTTAGGATACACAGCGAAACACAGCCAAACTCATCCTGAGCACACACAAAGTCACAGCCGAAGTAAAAACAATAAGTGTGGCTTGATATTGAGTAAGAAAAAGGTTGATAAACGCTGTGAGAATGGGTCTGCAGAGAGAATGGGTCTGCAGAGAGAATGGGTCTGCAGAGAGAATGGGTCTGCAGAGAGAATGGGTCTGCAGAGAGAATTTCGCCGTGATCCCAACTGTCTGTTATCAGCCTGCAGCCAGGGAGGAGAAATCAGCAGAGCTGCCTGTGCTCCCTGCACACAGATGTGTGTGTGAGGAAGTCCGTGGATTGGTCAATTTGGACCAATCAGCGGGGGCTTAACGTAACGGCTCCGCCGACGTAACGTAACGGCTCCACGAATTGGTCCATTTCGTTCCGGGTACGGCTTGGCATCATGCCGTACCCGGAAGAATCAAATGGACAATGACGTATCTCCAACGAGGCGTTTTGGGGAGGTATTTTCTGTGTTAGAGTTTTACTCCCTACAGGGTGTACTTTGAGGGTTTTGACTCTGCACACCGTTTACATGCATAAAAACCTTCATAACACACAAGGGGACGGGTAATAACCGGAAAAGCATGACACCTCTCCTTTAAGACGCCCACTTTGGCTCATCAACAATCATATAACCATCTGATTGAGGAAAGGCCACAAATATGTAAATACAGAAGGATTAGTGCCACATGGAATTTTTTGATCTGATTTAAAGTGATGTTGAATTCTGAGAAAAAAAGTCATAATCCTGAAAAAGTCAAAATTGTCAGAAAAAAAAATGTGTTAAAAAATAAAGTAATAATATTCTGAAAAAGTTCAGAATATTGAAAAAAAGTGGGAAATGTGAAAAAAGTCAGAATTGTGAAAAAGTTAACATTTGGAGAGAAAAGTTGTTATTTAAAAAAGAAAGCTCAGAATCCTTAGAAAGAGCAGAATTGTGGAAGAATTTTTTGAAGAAAGAAAAGAAAGTCTGGAATCTGTCAAAAATCTAATTTTGAAAAAAAGGTGGGTATTCTGAAAAGTTGTTAGACATTTGAAAGAAAAGTCAGGAATCTGAGAAAAGTCAACATTTTATAAAATAAGTCAGAATTATAAGAAGTCAGAAATCAAAATAATGAAAAAAAAAAACCAAGCTATGGTTGAATATTGATTGGATTAATATAAAAGTTACAATGAGTACAGAGTAAGATATGTGGAGTCCTAGTTGAGTTGCACGGCTGAACAGCATTTTAAGCTGTAAACACCTTAATCAACAACAAACTCACAAGAAGCTGCTGAACGAATGCTTGGAAAGTAATCGCAACTTTCTACAGAAAATGATTTCCCCACATCTATATAAGGAAATTTAAATTGGGCCATTAGTCCTATACTGCACCACAAGGTCATTCCACATCAGCGTCATGAGGGTGAAGCCTGGAGGAATCTGTGACATTGCACAATAATGACGGGACGAATGAATGAAGGCGGCGTCTTCAGGCGTCACTTTGCTCTGAAGCATGGAAACGGGTCAATGAATGGCCAACAATCATCCCATAGAAACATCCTCATTGGTGTGATGCTGGTCATAGGCTAACATTAGATTATCTTCCAATTTAAAACATTTAGGAGAGACAGCAAAGGGGAGTTTTGCCAGCTGTTTTCAAGTCTGAACTAAAGCAGGGAAGGTCTGATGAGTCGCAGTTTTCTCGAACACATACTCGCTTTCGCTCATTCATTCTTCTGTGTACTGCTGGCCAGGAGCCAATTAACAAACCAGGGGTGAAAAACAAACTTGTCTCCAAGGAGAAAGTTTTCCAATTACTCTGCTAGATTTTGTCAAAATGTGAAATTCATGAAAAAAGTAATACAAAAAATGTAAAGGTAGGTAAGTTTGAGAAACCGGCTCGAGATACACATTACTTTACATTTCATTTAGCTGACGCTTTTATCCAAAGCGACTTACAATTACCAATTACAGGGACATTCTCCCTGGAGTAACTGAGGGCTAAGTGCCTTTACTCAAGGGCACACTAGTGGTGGTGTTCCAGGCGGGATTTGAACTCACGACCTTCCAATCTTCAGCACACTTCACTATCCATTAGACCAGGGGTCGGCAACCTTTTTGATATGAAGTGCCATTTAAAAAAAAAAAAATGATCAGCGTGCCAACGATCGAGAATTATCAACGGGGGGGGGGGGGGGGGGGGGTTGAGGAGCTTGACGCTCGTGATCTATCAACAGGAGGGCGGGGGGGGCCTCCGCCTGCGGGGAAGCAGTGTGTGGACCTGTCAGCGCAACCTTACATGATACCGAATTTAACAAACACATTTAAATAATTGGTTTAAACGGCATAATAATAATAAGGACGATCGTCCGTTCTGTGATTCTCCAGAACACACATGTATGATATTAGGGTCATGACAGAGTGAGATGAGATCGCTGTCCCTTTAAGAGAGAGAGAGAGAGAGGGGTGTGGCGTGTGCGTGGGAGTATGTTTCTGGAAGGGAAACGAGGCAGCAGAAAAACAGAGGTCTGTGATGTATTTTGTGAAAACAGAAGAACAGCTAAATAAATGCAACGGCCTCTCAAGAAGAGCTCGCCTCTCTCCAGTCATTTAAGCTAAAGTGGGGTTATTGAACCTGAAGCTCGTTGCTTCTGCCCTCCTCGACTACGGTCTGGGAGCCGACAGGAAAGTTCAACACACAGATGGCCAGTCTCAGCCCCTTTGTCAGCTATTATTTCAATGAGAGATGAGAGCAGATCGCCACTGGGGCTTTCAACTAAAGACACACACAGCCACGCAAATAACTGCGACATTTGTTAAGCTCCGTATGGGTACTGCAATTTGTGAAGTGCTTTCTTCCGTGGTGAAACGATCAGCACTGCACCACGGAGAGAAAGCGGCAGAAAGTCACCTGGAGTTAAAGAGTAGCGGGGCGGCCTGCGTTGCTGTGCATGGCTTCCTTCTGCAGGTAACGGGGAGACGCGCTCTGGCGGCGGTCTCGTTCAGGATCCGAAAATACAATTTAAATATTTTGCACACTTATTCGACTTATTCCTAGTGTGCCACTGGCTACGGTGCCGCGTGCCAATGCTGGCACGCGTGCCAGGGGTTGCCGACCCCTGCATTAGACCAACACTACACGCTCTTAACATCCCGATAGCAATGAATATCTTAAGTGCTTTGACAAAAAATCCATAAAAAAATGTAGCCCGGCTAAAATAACTGGATGGCCTACCTGCCTGTCAGCCTTCCATCTGTGCACAAACTTATCTCGTGCCCTCATTGGTCATGTGCGCGTTCGTGTGTGTTGGAGGAGGGGCTCTGTAAGGAAGTGGCAGATTTTCTCCGGTTGTGTATTTTCAAATTCTAGCGATCTCGAGCCGGTTTCTCAAACTTACCTACCCTACCTATAACATTTAAAAAATAAAATCCAAATTTATGAGAAATGTCAGAAATCTGAAGAAAAAATCTAAATTAAAAAAAAAAAAATTCTAAAAAGTCAACATTTTGAAAAAAAAGTCAGAATACCGAAATGTACGAATTTTGAAGTTAACATTTGAAAAAAAAGTCAGAATTTATGTGAAATGTCAAAAATCTGAAGAAAAAGTCTTAATTCTAAAAAGTTATTAAAAAGAACGTTCAAGAAATTGTAAAAGTTAAAGTTTTGGAAAAACAACTCAACATTTTTGACAGAAAGTAAAATGTATGTAAAGTCAGAAATCTGAAACAAATTCTGACTTCTGAAAAAAGTCAGAATTTTGACAAAAACATCTAAATTATGAGATACTGTAAATCATTAATCTGAAAAAAAATCAGAATTCTCAAAATAGTCTACATTTTGACAAAAAGTAAAATGTATGAGAAAAGTCAGAAATTTGAAATGTACGAATTTTGAAAATAAAAGTAAGAAATTCTCTAAGGAGAAAGTTTTCCAATTACTCTGTTAGATTTATTTTTGGGGAAAGTTATGACCGCTGTCTTCAGGTCAGAAGCACTGTTATGGTTCTTCTTGTTCCTATGGTTCCTATGGTTCTTATGGTTCTTCTGGTTCTTCTGGTTCATGATGGGAACGTTTAATGGTATAACTGATGGACTAGACGTGATACTACGGTGGGAAAAATGATAATGTGTTGACTGATGACGGATGTTGGGTTTATGAGTTTGGGGAGGATGAAATGATGACGCTGTTTCTTAAGAGAAAAATGATAATACCTTGCGTGTTGTTCGTCGTTTACTCCTCCTAAAAATGTGACACTTCAGAAAAGAAAGAACGTGATTAAAAACAAAACCTGTAATGACTTCTTTATTCTACAGTTGATCAATAAAGTAGTTTCTCTACACATTTTAAGGGCTAATTTCCAAATCCAATTAGTAAAAACAGAACAGACAACAATCAACATTTGAACATTACTAGCAAGTTTTGGTATTGGTACTATTTGTACGGTTTGATTACGTAAACACAGATAAGTTACGGTGCTTATTCAATTTTTACAACTCATGTGTACTACAAAAGCGCTTATATTATTCACACTTTCAGCTCTATATTAAATCAA